TTATTGAAGACTTCAGATTCAAGTAAATAAACTGCAAATGCTCTAAAAAGTTATTGAGTCTCATAACACGGTAGATTGAATTTTCATGTAACAATGTATCAATATTTGCTGTAGTATTAACTACGAATGGACAGTGGACATTAATGTGTATGTACTAACTATTGCAGATATTATCTACACAATCAGTAAAAAAAAAAAACAATATTTCTCCATATTTCATTTCTCATTATTTAATTTGTAAAACTAAATCATGCATTAAAAAAAGAAAAAAAAACATTTCAGCATTAGGAGAAAAACTGTATTTCACAGCAAAATAATCATCCATATTAAAAGAACACATTTATGATTAATTGCCATTTTTATATAACAAATGTAATATTATGTACAGGGCAGCATATGTTTAAATAATAATTTTTTTTAAAACATGTTTTCAAAAGCAACATTTGCAATGCTTATCTTGTCAGTTCTTTATTACACCCCATTTTATCTCCATGCTATCTTACATTTAGAAGTTAAACTTTTTTAATACATTTTAACCCAATAGTCAGAGGTGTAACTAGAAACCACGGGGCCCCGGTGCGAAAATTGCCCTGGGGCCCCCTATCTCCTACCCCACAGGTCCCTGACCCTCCCCCCCCACACACACGTAGACAAACAGATACACATGCAGACACATACATACAGACACACACACACACACAGACCCATACATACAGACACATGTAGAGACACACACATACATACACTTACAGACACACACACTCAGACACACACTCACAGACAAACACATGCACAAACTGAGACACACTCACAGACACACACACACACACTTACATACACACACTCGCAAACACATACACACACACACATTCAGACACACACATACACTTAGACACACACACACATACACACTTAGACACACACATACACACACTGAGACACACATACACTAACAGACACACACACATACAATCAGACACACACACTCACATTCAGACACACACATACACTTACACACACACACACTCAGACACACACACTCACATTCAGACACACATATACTCTCACACACACACATACACTCAGACACACACACTCACAAACACATACACACACACAAATTAAGACACACACACTCACATACACTTACAAACACACACTCACATACAGACACACACACACACAGACCCATACATACAGACACATGTAGAGACACACACATACATACACTTACAGACACACACACTCAGACACACACTCACAGACAAACACATGCACAAACTGAGACACACTCACAGACACACACACACACACTTACATACACACACTCGCAAACACATACACACACACACACAAATCACCCCAACCGGCACACACACACACACACACACATACAGCACACACACAGCACAAACACACATACAGCACACACACACATACAGCACACACACAGCACACACACATACAGCACACAAACAGCACACACACAGCACCCACACACATAACACACACACATACAGCACACACACACACACACACAGCACCCACACACACACAGCACCCACACACACACAGCACCTACACACATACAGCAAACAAACATCAGCCACACACACACACAACATCCTCACACATACACCACACAAACAGAACACACATCACCCACACACACACAGCACCCACAAACAGCCACGAGGTGCCGTCGCACCGGACCAGTGTGACCGCGCCAACGAACTGAGCTTACCTTCTCAGGGTTGAGTCGGGAGCCGCTCTGCCGGGTTCTCGCGGCTGCCTGCCCAGGTTCAAGATGGTGCCGAACACGCTGTCGCAGCTAGATATAGCTCTGCCCCCCAGGGTCACACACACACGTTCTGCAGTCAGATGCCAGAGGGATATTTAACCTAGGTTATTGCCCTGTCGTGGTTTTCGTTCCTGGTTCCTGAATCCTGAGAGTGTGTTTCCTTGTCCTGTTTTGGATATTCCCAGTATTTTGACCTTGGCTATTCCTGACTATTCTGATTCCTGGCTTCCCTGACTTGGCTTGTTAAATGGTATTGTATATTTCTGGCTCTCTTGACCATTCTCTGTTTTTAACGTATTAGTCCGGCCATTCTAAGGACTGGTTTACGTTTTATCATTTTCTGTTCGGTCTATGTAGATGTTACATAGTTCTGCGTGCTGGACCACACTAGCAGTCATGACAAGACTCTTATCGACCATAGACACTAAAACAGTAATACCTCTCAAGCATCAAGTATCTAATGGAGATGGTGTTGGAGGGAAACTCAAAGGATGCAGCTTTAAGAAAACACATACTCTATGCTAATCTCTCTCTAATTTATGCTTTAATCTTTCAAGTAAATCCATACCCCCTAACAGCAGTGTCCAGTGAAGCAGGAAGTCAATGGGGACGCTGGGAGAAATGGGGACACAGACACTAGGTACACAGAGACACAGACACTGGAAGACACGGGGACACTAAGACACTAGGGACACTGAGACACTAGGGACACTGGCTGGGAGGCATGGAGACACAGGCATGGAGACATTTGGGGACACTGGGAGACATGGGGACATTTGGGGAAACTAGGGACATTTGGGGTCATTAGGGACACTGAGAGACATGGGACACAGACACTGGGGGGACTGGCTGGGAGACATGTGGACACTGGGAGACATGGGGACACAGACATTTGGGGACACTGGGAGACATGGGGACACTGAGACACTAGGGACACTGAGAGACATGGGGACTCAGACACTGGGAGACTAGGGGACACTGGGAGACTAGGGGACACTGAGACAATAGGGACACTGGCTTGGAGGCATGAGGACACTGTGCCCCATGTGTCTCTGTGTCTCAGTGTGTCTCCCAATGTCCCCATGTGTCTCAGCATCCCCATATCTCACAGTGTCCCCTAGTTTTTCAGCGTCCCCATGTGTCCCCTAGTGTCTCAGTGTCCCCTTGTCCCCCTGCTGCCTTTCCCCCCATCCTTCACTTACCTGAGCTGTAGGCTGTTTCTGTAGGCTGGGAGCTGCTGTCTGGCCTCTCTGTGCTGTGTAGCTGCTCCCCTGCGGATCAGTGAGTAGAGAGAGGCAGGGAGTGATATGCTGTAACTTCCTATCCCTGCCTCTCTCCACACACAGTGAACCCTAGTGGTTAGTGCTGGTATTGCAGAGTAATCTCCATTTATACTGAGAAAAATACCTGCATTTGTATTGCCGTTATTACTGCAATACCGGCACGGCCAGGTAGCCTCAAATACCGGCTGTGCTGGTAAAACACCAGTCAGGTGTCAAACCTAACAGTAGTGTGTGTAAAAAAAAAAAAAAAAAAAAAGTTACATTTTTTTTTTTTTTTTTAAATGGGCCTATTCCATGGGCCTGGGCCTGGAGCTGCAGCTCCATCAGCCACTATGTTAATCCGGCCCTGCATTTTGGGGCCTGCTCTTCATATCTGAAAGTGAAATAAAAGCATCTAATGCGCTTACTGCACAGTTGTAAAAATTCTAATTGTTTTGCTGCTAATCTGCTAAATAGCACATTTGCGGCCTGCGGTGCACTTCATATCTGAGAGTCAAATAGAAGCATCTAATAGTGTGCTTACAGCGCAGATGTAAAAATTCGTATTTTATGGGTGCTAATCTTCTAAATAGTACAATTTGGGGCCTGCTCTTCATATCTGAGAGTCAAATAAAAGCGTCTAATAGTGCGCTTACTGTGCAGTTGTAAATATTCTAATTGTTTTGCTGCTAATCTGCTAAATAGTACATTTTGTGGCCTGCTCTTGATATCTGAGAGTCAAATAGAAGCGTCAAATAGTGCGCTTACTGCGCAGTTGTAAACATTCTAATTGTTTTGCTGCTAATCTGCTGCTTACACTGGAGTTTTAAAAAGTTTTTTTTTTTTTTTGGTGCTAAATAGTAAATTTGGGGTGTTCACTTCATATCTGAGAGTCAAATCGAAGCGTAACTTTGATTCAAATTTACTACATTGGTCACTTGTAATATTGTTTCACACCTACAACACTTGTTACACAGATCTAAGTGATAGAAAACAGATTGATATTTTCTACACTTCAAACTACCAGATAAAAAGCTGCTATATTTAAACCAGTTATCAATTGCTAAGAGGTACTTAAACAATATTGTAATTCTGGGGCAATACCCTCACAAGTCAAACTGAGAGGTCAGTTTATAGGGAAAACTGTTGCCTGGATATAATTCTAAAACAATTTCCATATGTCCTTTGCAGACTTTACATGCTGGAAAAACACAGGTCCCAACTGCTGTGGCTTTCTGCAGTGTGCATACCGGCAAGGAAGGCAGGGTTGAGGAGTGGGTGGAAGATGATGTGGAAGATGATGTGGAAGATGATGAGGTCCTGCAGTTTGGAGGAAGAAGCGCTGGTCGCACAGAGGCACCAGCACAGCATAAGAGGGAGCAGGGTGCAAAAGCAGAGCGGCCGTCCCCTAGCGCTCATCGACATGTATTAGCTCGAGAATTACCAGTTATCAAAGTAATACATGTAGTGATCAAAGGATCCATAATAGACTTGAGCGAACCCGAACTGCAAAGATTTAATGATCCATTCGTAGTTTCACAGTCAGGTGGGCAGTCCGGTGACCAGGACCCAGACAATGTCTGGGCGGCGGTCGGACGACTGGGACCCAGTATGCCTGATGTTGAAGTTAGGAGTCACAGTGTGGAATGGATTAGAAGGGTATGGTGCATGGTAACCGCACGCCTCCTTGTGTTGAGCACCAGCGTTTGTGCGGCCACATACCAGGACCCTGATGCAGCTTCAGTAAAAAGAGTACTGGATACCAGAAGCCATCACCAGACTGATCCGCAACTTGGAACAGAATGTGACATTCACTGTAGCGGCTGTGTGCGCTTTTGGCGTTCTCACCCTGCTGCTGCTCGCCTGTCTGTGCTGCAGTGTAACTTCGGCCTTCCCGCTCACCGCCTCATGAGACTGTGCGAGCAGCAGCAGGTGATAGTGGAGTTTCAGCTGCAGCACGCACGGGTCAGTGGCTCTGCACCAGACTTCCCTCCAATTGATCCGAGTTAAAGGATTTCAAGTGGACTCATTACAATTACAGGGCCTCTAAAAAGTCCTGTATTGTTATTTGTCATCACTACCTTCTCGCGTCGAGAGTGGGTCATTTGGGCACCTGCTGCCTTCCTTGCATGTGGTAGCCATTTCTCAGGGTCCATATATGGAATGGAACCCTGATTCCCTGTTACCCATGGTCACCATGGTAGGCGCATCGAAAGTTGATATGGATGACATCCGAATGCAAAGTCGCTGTCACGAGGATGTGCAATTGGCCTGAGGTTCTCTAGATTCAACAAAGTGCCTGCGCAACTATAATATCAACAGCTACTCTGCGGAAGAGAGTTGTCTTTTTTTAAATGTACCAATATTTTGGCGGCTACCCCAATTAAAATAAAAAATAGATATATATAAACAGTGTTGGCTACCTTATCCTCCTCCTCCACCGCTGCTTCCACCTACACTGCCATGGTCACCGCCTCCTCAACCTATGGGTCACTTAGTATAAACTATGTACACAATAGCAGAGACTTGTGAAGGCCTTTTCTCCATGCATCAGGAGTTGAGCATTTCTCCATGCATCAGGACTGCAAGAAATGCACCGCAGGCCGCAAGTGTTTCTTTTTTTATATGTTCCAATATTTTGTGGGCTACCACAATAAAAAAAATATATATATATAAAACAATGTTGGCTACTACATCCTCCTCCTCCACCGCTGCTTCCACCTACACCGCCACGGTCACCGCCTCCTCAACCTATGGGTCACTTAGAATAAACTATGTACACATTAGCAGAGGCTTGTGAAGGCCTTTTCTCCATGCATCAGGACTGCAAAAAAAGCACCGCAGGCTGCAAATGTTTCTTTTTTTTTGTATGTCCCAATATTTTGTGGGCTACCACAATAAAAAAAAAAAAAAACATAAAAAACAGTATTGGATACCTCATCCTCCTCCTCCACCGCTGCTTCCACCTACACCGCCACGGTCACCGCTTACTCAACCTATGGGTCACTTAGTATAAACTATGTACACAATAGCAGAGGCTTGTGAAGGCCTTTTCTCCATGCATCAGGAGTTGAGCTCAGTTTGAACAATGAAAGAGAATACCCTGCACTCCAACCCTCTCTCAAATGGATAATCCTGGTGATCCTCCTGACAGCCATGCTTTAGATTTTGATTTATGTTCTTCCAAAGCTAAAATCAAAGATTCCATCTAGTGCTATTTTATGACTCAGCTGTATTTTTTATTTTTATGTTATTTTAAGTGATTTCCCTATCCACATTTGTTTGCAGGGAACTTGTCCCACTCTTACCCCCATTTGAATTCCTTTTGCAGCTCTCTAGCCCTTTCCAGGAGTTTTTTAGTTCGGGTCCCCTTTGACTTCAATGGGGTTCAGGTTCGGGGTCAAGTTCGGGGTCAAGTTCTATCACGAACCCGGACTTTTTTTAAAAGTTCAGCCAAACCCGCCAGACCCAAACATCCAGGTGTCCGCTCAACTCTAATGATGTCCAAAAAGACAATTTTTATTTATTTACAGTTACAGTATTTAACTCCTCCTTTGACCCCTGCCAAATAACCAAAACATCATCTATAAAACTTTTCCACACAACCTGGTTAGCTCTCCAACATTCTCTGACCACACAAATTAGGATTCCCAGTCTTTAAAGTACAATGTGTGTGTTTTATGATCTTTGTACTCTATATTCTATATAACTAGAATTTTTTTATATAAAGATGGAGCTTCTTGTGCTTGCTTCTGTAATTTCTAACCTTTAAATTCTGAAACATTTGCTATTATGGAATATAATTCACTCTTTATGGGTCTCCCTGGTGGTCTAGTTGGATGTTTGTAGAGTTTGGGGAGAAAACAAAATAAGGGGATATTTGGAATATTATAAATAAACCATATGGGGTGGTGCCTGACTTGCAATGTGAATGGCGGCTTCTGGCTAGAGATCCAGACTAGCAGGTCCACATCAGCACCTGTTGCATTTTTCTTAAGATAACACCAGAATCACTGTTTACAGATGTGATGGGGAGGAAGACAACTTGTCTTAGGGCATTTGTACCCATAATATTTGTACCATTACATTATCTTTCTGTAATGGTATTTATTAATTAATGACTTTACATCATAAAGAAAGCATATTTAGTGTAATGCTTTGGGGGCACCACTAGGGGGAGTGTGTAGGAAGACATGTGCTTCTGGCAGTGACATCACAGGCCAGCCTACTTACACTGAATAAAACCAGATGGAGGAGAAAACTCTGTCCCTTTTGCCTGTAACTGACTGAACCTAAGATGTAGTACCAGCTCTGACTTAACCCCAGCCAAAGGGCTGGGGCCTTGTAAGTAAAATGAACATTTAGCAATTGTAATAGCCCTTTGTGTAACATTTAGCAACCTTTTGTAAGTAATATGTTGTAGTTTTGTATTGTATCATAATTGTAGTAAATTGACATTCTGCTAGCATCTGTTTATTTGTTATAGTTATATTAAATATACATTTAATATTACAACGTTTTGTGTATTTTCTATCCACATATTCGACCATAATACCATGAATTATAAAAATATTAATGTTGTTCCGTATTGCTTAATTATTATGTATTAAGAGATTAATATTCATATTTAGGTCACGACCACAACACTTTCCTATTAGACTGATCCTCTTAAGCCATGCAGAATTTCCCTATATAGCCCAATATTGCATACGGGCTTCCAAGGAAGATCATGTGTTTCTCGAAGTTCTGATTGCCTTATATCCCATACCATGCTCTATCACACTGATAAGCTTATGTTGAGCCACCAAAGGCTCACACAATTAATGACCCCCTTGCACGTATCTGCAGAGTGGGCCTGATATGATTTGAACATTGACTAATGAACACCTTTGCTCCCCCACTATGGTGGATCATTCCTTGTTCATGTTCTCTTTCTATGTTTTTCATGTTCCTTCCAAAATATTATTTTCTTCATTTCTGTTCTATATATGAAATACCTGTATTCTAGCTCATAGGATTTTCAGACCATAAACCAGTGTGCAACTGTTTGGTCTTTCAGCTGTTGGTGTTTTGATCCTCTGGTGTTTCCAATCCCCTTTTGAGTATTGCTTATGCAGTGACGTATATGACAATAGATCTTGTAGGCTATGATGCTTAACAGAACTTTCCATGATGTGGGGGACAGGTGATTTGTCCTTTATGATCAGTATTTTTCTGCCTCGTGTTAGTCAGTCAAGGTGGGAGCCTGTTGCTAGTGACTCATTCATTTGTGCTGCTATGCATTCATGCAGCATTGTTAGATTCTTTATCCAGTAAGTGGGCATCATGTCAGGTCCTGGGGCTGACCAACTCTTCATGTAAGCTACTTGTTTTTGGACATCTGCAGTGGCCTACTTACAGGTCTAGTAACAACACTTTGGATGGTTCTTTGGTAAACAGGGAATTTATTTTCTTAGCTTCTGCTTCTCCCATGTATCTGCTCAGTCTGGTTGCCAATGTTGTGTGATTTTGCTTAGCTGTTTCCAGTTCCAGTGCCAATTCTTGTTGTTGTGTTACTAGCTTCCTCATGACAATGTACAATCATTGTGTAATAGATGACTAAATATAATCTATATTATATTTAGTAATCTCTGGCCAGGTATAATTACTGTACCTCAATCATTGCCTCCTTTTCTTATAATTATGTCATCTCTCTGTTTTCAAGGACCACTAAAGATAACGAGACCACTTCATCTAATAATATGGTTTAGATTCAGTTGCCCTGTAGTTAAAATCCTGCTATATAAAATATTGCAGTTTTGCAGAAACTGCAATGTTTACATTGCATGATTAAACACACCTTTTTTGAAAACATTATTTAATTTTTTTTATTTGTATGTATTTATTTATAGTTTTGCTGTTATGCTTCTCTCTCCTCTGGTCTCTTTAAAAACAAATCGTTTTAGAGCCAATTTTGTTAATATTTTTGTACATCTATATAGGTGTTACATTCAGGGGCGGATCCAGAACCTAATCTCGGGAGGGGCACTGGTAGATTATTTATTTTTTTTTCAATTTGACAATTTTTATTGAGTCAGCGAAAAGGTACGTGGGTACAGAAAGTAGAAGGGAGGGTGTAGGGATCAGATTCCACATTTCCAACAGGTGTTGCACAATAACGATTTATACACTTATTGCAAACGTTTATTATGGTGTGTGCGCATTTGGTGTCTGTTTGGCATAGATATTCCCTTGTTGATATTTTGGCATATAAGCGTATTTTATAGTCCTGTACCGTGCCTATGTCCGCGCTGTTTGTGGGTGAATATACACAGTTATCAATGTTTTGCTGTTGATATTCTCAGTACAATTTTTGCTACATTCTCATATCTGACAAATATTTGAGATAAACATTCACCTAGTGGTCTGTTAGTGTATATGCCTGTGTAGCAGTTTTGGCGATGGAGCTCTCTAGGCCGTTTATCTATAGACATACTCACATAGCGTGCATTACTTGAGGGGGGGAGGGTTTCTGAGTGCCAGTCATCTCGGATAGGGTGTGTCTAGGTTTGAGATGGTCTATCTGACTATGTGGCTGGAGGGGTACTTCTGCATGATGTCTGGCCACAGGGGTTATTTCCTTTTTGTGATTTCTACGTGTCTAGTTGTGCAGCTCTATTCCCCGCTTGTGTCTACGTCGGGCCCTGCCATGTGCCTATCTGATGGGCTGCTGATTGTTTTGTCATTTGATGTGTGTTCATGCCTGCTTGGTGGAATCATTGCTGTCACTGCACCCTGAGGGGACAGTGTTCCAGTATATCCGATGCCCTCCCATCTCTTTCCCCAGTCCGTCGGGTCGCATGACTCTTTTTACTTCTAAAGAGAAAAAGAAAGAGAAAGAAAGAGAAGGGGGGAAGGGCGGGGAATGGGATGAGCTGGTAGGGGGGGTAAACTATGTACAAAGGAGATTTGCTTTACGATGTCTTGGTGGGGCAGACCTCTTGTGCATAGTGGAATACGTTCCATGTTTTCCATAATTGTTTTCCCTATGTTCTACCGGTTGCCTGGTGTCTGTGTTGGTTGCCACTGCCAGGTGTGCTGGATCGTTCGTTGTATATTGCGACACCAGGGTCGAGAGCCTAGAGCGCAGCCCGGAGTGTGCTCTTTTTTTTTTTTTCCCCTCTCTCTTCCCTCTTTTCCCCAACTCCGTCACCCCTACCCGCTCCTATTTGCAAACCTCTAACCCGGAGGTTTTTACCTCTTATTTGGTGTGTCAGGTTTTGCCCTGTGGTGTTTCGCCTACTCTAGTTTCCCCGTGGTCTTGTGAGTTTGAGTCTGGGGGGGTGTTTTCCGTACGTGCCTGGGTTTTAATGTATGTGTCCCACATGTTGCCCGCTGCCTGAATATGTTTTTTAGGGTTAATGTTTTTGTGTGCCATTATTTCGTAGTCTATATTGAGGGTGATCTGTGTTATAAGGGCAGTGCGGTCCGGGACCCCCACTGCTTTCCATGCTCTGGCTATCAACAGATTTGCAGCCATGAGGATGTGGAAGAGTAGGGTGTAGGCTGGTTTGGATATGTTTTCTAACGGCATGAACAGGAGGCACACTTCAGGTGTGAGTGTAACATTCGTCCCCAGTGCGTCGGTGGAGACGTCGCCTACCGTCTGCCAGAACTCTCTGAGCTTAGGGCAGGTCCACCAGATGTGGTACATCGTTCCCGGTTCCTGTGAACATCTCCAGCAGAGTCTGGATGTGTTCGGGTAGATGCGCGCCAGCCTGTCTGGTACCATGTACCAGCGATACTGGATTTTCCTCATCAGTTCTAAGTGTGATGCGCAGCTTGTCTTTCCTTTATGGGCTAACATTGCTGTTTTCCAGCTTTTGACGTCAAAGATTTGGTGCAGGTCGTCGTGCCAGTCTGTCATAAATTTTTCATAGCTACGTTCCGTCGGGACTGTCAGTTCACGGTAAATGGAGGCTAGTAACTTTTTTGGCGTGGTAGGGGCTAGGAAGGCTTTCTCGAAGAAAGCTATGGTCGGCGGCCGCGAGAGTGCGGGGCTGTGTGTGAGGAGTGCTTTTAGTTGGAGGTATGAGAACACCGCTCTCGTCGGTAGTTGAAATTTGCGTTGTAGGTCAGGGAATGGCAAAATTCCGTTGCTTCCTAACAGTTGGCCTATGGAGGTGCATCCACCTTTGCCCCAGGGCCGGTAGTCGAAGGATGGATTAATAGTGTGTACGCAGGATATAGGGGTGGCTGGAGACCACACGTGTTGCTCGCCTAGATGGTGTTTTAATCTGTCCCATGTGTGGAGGAGTAGGTCAGTGGTTCGCAACATGTTTGGCATGCTCGGGCGGTTGCGTTTGGGTATCCAAAAGAGAAAGTGTATGCCCACGGGGTGCGACCAGTGTGACTCTAGCTCAATCCATTGTGGGGGGGAAATAGTTGCATGGGAGGTCACCACAGATGCTAACAATGCAGCTCTGTAGTATTCTTTGATGTTTGGCAGCCCAAGTCCACCGTGATCTAGGGGCTTGTATAAGAGTTTTGAGGAGACACGGATTTTGCGGTTTTCCCACACGAATCTGGTCAGCGTAGCTTGGAACTTTTCCAAATATGATTTGGGGATAGGTATTTGCAGTGTTCGAAGCAGATACTGCAATTTAGGGAGGATGGACATTTTTATTGCTGCTATCCTACCTAGCCAGGTCAAGAATTTGGATTCCCACCCTTTCAGTGTTTCGGTTATGTCTCTTAAGAGTGTCTCGTGGTTATACTTCAAGAGCTCAGTCGGATTTTTTGTGAGTCTGAGCCCCAAGAAGGTAATGTAATCAGATCTCCAATCAAAGGAGAATGATGCTCGGAGTGTGCGTAATGTTCGGTCTGGGATCCCTATGCTTAGGGCTTGGGTCTTCGTCACGTTGAGCTTATAATAGGAGTGAGTTCCATATTCCGTGATAGCTGCTAATAGGTTTGGGAGGGAGATTTGTGGCTGCGTGAGGGTAAGCAGGATATCGTCAGCGAACAGGTTCGCTTTGTATTCTTTATGCCCGATTATAGTTCCGTGGATAGAGGTATGGTCCCTGATGGTTTGCGCCAGGGGCTCCAGCGCTAGGACGTAGAGTAGGGGGGAGAGTGGGCAGCCCTGTCTTGTTCCGTTTGTGATCGAGAAGGGGTCAGACAAAAACCCTGCATTGAGTACTTGCGCGGTGGGGTGGCTATAGAGGGCCCTCACCGCCGACAAAAATCTCTCAGTTATTCCAAATTTGAGCAGTGCCGCTTCTAGAAAGCCCCAGTGTAAGCGGTCGAAGGCTTTCTCGGCATCTAATGATATCAGTAGCCCCCCTTTTTGTGTCTTCTTGTAGCTGTGAATTATGTCTAATACTTTTCTCGTATTTTCCGATCCCTGTCTGCCCGCCACGAACCCTACTTGGTCATTGTGGATAATGTGAGGAAGGATCTTACTTAGTCGGGTGGCGTGTATTTTTGCAAAGAGTTTAGCATCTGTGTTCAGTAGTGATATGGGTCTGAAATTTTGGGGGGTTGTGGGTGGTTTTCCTGGTTTGGGCAGCGTAACGATGTGTGCTAGTAATACATCTTTGGGTAGTGATTCGTGGGCTATCGCGTCTTGGAATGTTTGAGCTAGATGTGGGGCCAACGTGTTACTGAATTTTTTGTAGTAGAGATTATCCAAGCCATCAGGTCCGGGTGATTTGCCCGTCGGCAGGGCGCTTATGGCCGAGATAATCTCGTTTGCTGATATCGGTTGGGTGAGTTCCAACTTTTGTGTCGGGTTCAGTTCTGTGAGGTGAAGGTCCTGAAGGTAGCCTTTGATGCCTGTGGTTTGGGGTTGGTGTATTTGCCCGTTTTGGTTAAGGTTGTATAGATCTGCGTAATACCGTGCGAACTCATTGCTTATGTCTCGCGGCGTATGGACCTTTGTGCCATTCTGTGTTGTTAGATACGCAATTTTCTGGGATGTTTGGCGTGACCGCAATCGATTTGCGAGCAGCTTGCTTGCTCTATTACCCTGTGCATAGTGAGTCGCTTTAAGGCGTTTAAGTTGAAACCCTGTGTTTTGTAGGGCCTGTTGATGTATATTCCTATTTAGGGCTATGATTTGGTCTCTTAGGGAGGCAGAAGGTGAGTTTTGGTTTTGCATATTTAAGGCATACAGTTTTTTCTGCCACTCCAGCAGCTGGGCACGGGATGTTCTGCGCAGTGTGGCAGCTCTTTGTATGAGTATTCCCCTCACTACAGCTTTGTGTGTTTGCCACACTGTGGTTGGGGACATGTCAGGGGTGGAATTTTCTTCAAAGTACTGTTTGAGGGCCGTCTCTACCTGGCCCGTAAATGCTGGGTTCTGTAGTAGGGAATCGTTGATTCTCCAGGGGCTACGGTTTTTAAAGTCGTATAGATCTTTGACTTCGAGGGTAACCGGGGCGTGGTCTGACCACGTAATGTGGTCAATGTCGCATCTAACCAGTTGGTTCAGGTCTGATCCTTTCATGAGAAAGGTATCCAGTCTAGAGTAGGAGTTATGGATAGGCGAGAAAAACGTGTAGGACCTTTCCATTCCATGGGAGATTCTCCACGCATCATAGTAGTGGTGCGTGGATAGGAGTGTCTGCAGTGCTTTGCTTTGGCGTTTGAGGGGTCGGAATCTGGCTCGGGCTCGCGAGAGGGTAGTGTCCAGTGTCGGGTCTAAGACATGGTTCAGGTCCCCGCATATTATAGTTATCCCTTGTTGTATGTTAGTTAGTATCTCTAAAATTTTATGAAGGAAGTTTCGTTGGTTGGCGTTGGGGGCATATACATTTGCGATGGTGTATGTGATGTCATTAATGATTCCTACAACTATGACATATCTCCCATTGGTGTCTACCTCTTGTGTGAGGAGTTGGAATGAGACCTTTTTGCTGATGAGTATAGATGCGCCCTTTGATTTGTGTGGAGAGGTGGCATGGAATTGGGTGGGGTAGTCGGTAGATAGTAACGGAGTGTAATCATTTGTTCTATAGTGCGTTTCCTGTAGACACACTATTTCCGGGCTGGCTGCTCGAAGCTCCCGACTCAACAAGTGCCGCTTCACTGGGATGTTCAGTCCTTTTACATTGTGGGTATAAAACTTCACGGTGGGTCATTTTTAAACAATCGCTGTTTATTGTAGTAGTCATTATGTGTTGTTGGGGTCCCCGCTCCTCCCAGCTCTGGCGAGCGGAGCGGAGATCCCCTGCGGGTTGGTGGCAGTGGCATTGTCGCTCGTCGCAGCCCAGCCCACTGGCTAGGAGGACGAGGGAGTTGTGGGGTGGTTTGCACGGTGTGAGGTCTGCTTCTCTGTCTGACTGCTTGGGTACGGGTGCCAAGACATGGAGTTAGGGGGGGTGGAGGGGGGGGCAGGGGCAGGGGAACTGCTAACAAGTGGACTAAAACCAGAGTCCAAAGGGTAGAGAACAGGAAAGCCAAGAATGTGGCTAGGCGCTGCCTATTAGCGCCGTGGGGGTGGAAGCAAATGGCTTCCAGTCCAGGGGTGGTCCGCACACGTAGGGCCCCGCGTGTTGCAGTATCTTGGATCCCGGGGGGGGGGCTACGTAAAGGAACCCATGTCTCTGTGTCCGCAGGGGTAAAGCGGTGGTTGTCAAGGCAATGGGTGATGGGCTCAAGCGCAGGGATGCTGGTGCTAGTGGGAGCCCATGTGGAGCAGGTGCATTAGATCATAGCACATTAACCGGGAATTTGAATTGCTGTAAGTGCATTCCCTGTCCCCCTGACGTCCGTGTGTGCTCAGCTATGGGTCCTTACGGGCCGTTTTACCACTTTTAAATGGGACAGAGGGGTCTTTAGGGGTACCCGTTGGTTCATAGGGACACCGACCCCATCTTAGCATTAAAACAATACCGAGTTCTCCTTAATCGATATATTCAATGTGTGGGAGGGGAGTGGGAGTGGGAGTGAAGGCCCCTTTTTTTTTTTTTCCTCTCTCTCCGTGGGCAGGTACCTGGGCTACATTGATGTCCCCCCCCAAGAAAGAGAAGAGCACCCACCCTCCCCTGCTCTGCTTGGATTAAGTCTCATGATAAGGACGTTGTGTGGGGATGTAGTCTATCTGGTAGCCCACGGGGTGTCCAGATGGGTCTTGGTTGGCGGAGCAGCCGGGTTGGGTCATTTTACTACATAGGGAGCTACAGGGGTAACTGTCATTTCTGAGGGTCACCAACCCCAACCCAGCAATAAGACAATACAGATTTTATCTTAGTTGATACATTCAATGTGTGGGAGGGGGTCGGGAGGCCGTGAAGCCCTTTTTTTTTTTGGGGGGGTGGAGAGGTTATACTTGCTGTGGCCCACGGCTTCAAGGGGTGATAGTCACTGGGGGTTCCCAAGTCCCTGTCAACGTCTTTTAGGCCTTTTCCATTCCGGAGAGATTCTTGGCAGGTTTCCCGAGGGCCTCATCTGTTCCGGTTGTTCAAGTCCCCATTGTCCAAGGACACGCTGGCCGTCTTCTGGGGTGGGTATAACGATGGTTTTTCCTTCGCGTTGTACTAGGAGCTTTACCGGGAATCCCCAGCGGTAGATGATATGGTGTGCTCTCAAACGCTCCGTAATTGGCTGGAAGGCTCGGCGGTGCTTCAAGGTGTAGGCTGACAGGTCTGCATACACGGACACCTCCCGGAATCTCTCTGGCCACTCTTTGCGGGATCTGCTCCGTCGAAGTATTTCCTACTTGGCATGATAATAATGTAGGCGAAGCAGCACGTCCCTGGGTGTATCTGGAGGCAGAAACTTCGGCCTGGCGGCTCTGTGGACTCGATCTAACAGTAGTAGGTCCCTTGGAATTTCGGGCGCGATGGCGTGGAAGAGATCCGTCACATACATGGTGAGATCAGCCATGCCCACCGTTTCCGCTATTCCTCGGAGCCGGAGATTGTTCCGACGGCCCCTGTCCTCTAGATCCGCTAGCTTTAAATCATAAGCCTCTAACCGGGCCAAGAGGCTCTCCATCTGGGTGGCCATTGTGTTGTGTGCCCCCTCAAGGTCCGCCATCTTCGTCTCCACGTGGGAGGTCCGGGATCCCAGGTCTTGTAGGTCTTTCTTCAGCTCCCCCAGGGAGGATTGAATGGAAGCCAGCAGTTTTTCTGACATGCTGTCTAGCATGTTTTGCAGCACGCTTTGGGTAGGTAAGAGGTCCGGGTTTAGCGAATCCTGCGGGTTTTCCAGGTCCTCCTCGGCGCCATCTTGAGCCATCTCGGAAGAGGCCGGAGTTTTGGTTTGTCCCGCTCGCGGCGTGAAAAATTGTGCCTTCTCTTGTCTCTCGGTGACCCTTTTCGACTTGGGCTGTGACATGGTGTGCCCTGCGGTGTGTTGGTAGGCTGTTTGTGCAGTTTTGTGATTCCAATTGCTCAGATTAGGGCCCTGGAGGTGCGGAGCTCTCTCTACATGCGACTGCTCGCGGCAAGGTCCAGGACACGCCCCCCTGGTAGATTATTTAAAGGAACAATCCAGGCATGATAGCCACTGCAGCTCTATGTAGTGGTTATGGTGTCAGGAGTGCCATGGTGCCCTCCCAGAATAAGTAGTCAAACCATTTTAGAACAGTGTGACAATGTACCTAGAGTCTGCTGGAATAGGGGTTCTAGTAGGGTATAGGGGCAGGAGTGTGTTAGGGGTGTAATGTGTGTGTGTGTGAGAGAGAGAGAGGGATGCAGTGTATATGTGTGTGTGAGGAGTGCAATGTGTGTGTGTCTGTGAGGGGTGAAGTGTGTGCATGTGTGAGTAGTGCAATATGTATGTGTGCGAGGGGTGCAGCATGTGTGAGGAGTGCAATGTGTGTGTGGGATGCATGGAGGGGCTCAGTGTGTGTGTGTGTGTGTGTGAGGGGTGCAGTGTGCGTGTGTGGAGGGGTACAGTTTGTGTGTGTGGAAGGGAGCAGTGTGTGTGTGTGAGGGGTGCACTCTGTCTGAGGAATGCAGTTTGTGTGTGTCAGGGGTAGAGTGTGTGTGGAGTACAGTGTGTGTGTGTGTGTGAGGGGTACAGTGTGTTTGATGGCTACAGTGTGTGTGTGTGTGTGTGTGTGTGTGAGTTACAGTGTGTGTGATTGGTACAGTGTGTGTGGGGTATAATGTGTGTGAGGGGTACAGTGTGTGGGGGTAGAATGTGTGGTGGTACAGTGTATGTGTTAGGGGTACAGTGTGTTTGGGGGTACAATGTGTGTGAGGAGTACAGTTTGTGTGGGGTACAGTGTGTGTTGGGTACAATGTGTGAGGGGTACAGTGTGTGGGGCAGGCAATGTGTGGGGTGGCAGTGTGTGCATGTAAAAGTTGTGTGTGGGGGGGGAAGGGGGAAAGATAAAATTTATATATATATATTTTTTTTTTTATTAAAATAAATCATCTTTAGATCCCTCCTCCCTTCTTACCTTTGCCGGGAATGGGGGATCTTTCTCAATCTCTGGTGGTCCAGTGGAGAATCCCTGGCGGTCTCAGTGGTGAGTATGAACTCTAGTCTGCAGCTTCTGGGCTAGAGTTCACTCTCGCGAGATCGGGAGCGTTGCCGTGGTAACGTGCTCGTGAGAGGAGGACCCTGAGGAGCTGCAGGCTGAGTTCCTGGGTCCTCTCTCCCTCCTCTTCCGGGTGCCAGCAAAGTGCCTGCGGACCGGTAAGAAAGAACTCTGATCTTACCTCCAGTCTGTGAAGGCACATAGCAGGGCCGTCGCTTGGATAGCACTCGCCATGCGGGGGAGAACATCGACTTTCGGGCAGGGCAATTGCCCCGTTGACCCCCACCCTGCATCCGCCACTGGTTACATTTAGCTATATTTATTTGGGAGCACAGTTTAAACCTTTAATGAGGCTTTCATGTAAAAGCAGAAGTGGCCATGGAAGTTGGAGTAACCCTTTAAATAATTTCTAAAAACTGTTTCTATTTTTATGTCTTAATTTATTCCATCCAACAGAATTGTTGTTATAGCATTTGGTGCTTATATACTTTTTAAATCTGAAGCTTTAAAAAAAAAAAAAAAATACTGGAGGATTATTAGAAGCATTTCACCCAGAATTGGGTCTCTAAGTAACATCAGCCTACATTAGCATTTGTTAAATTATATATTCAATTTCCCTTTCAATGTATTTTAATTCATCCTCTTTAAGTTGTTTTTCCTTGTCCACTTTTTTTCCGTTGTATTTTTGTTTTGTTGCTTTCTTTCCCCTATTATATACAAGTCATAGTGAACAGAACGGGCTTGCAGTTAGGTTTAGGGTAGTGCACATGCAGTCATTTTTCCCCTGGAAAAGGGCCAAAAAAAGGTATTTTGTGTTATCGATTTCATTTAACACTGGTTATCTTCAAGCAGAAAATCCTATTCTTTAAGAAGCTCGGAACAGACCTTCCTTAATTTTATAGGATATTGCTTTTAAAACTGTAAGTGAACTTGACCTAGTTTTCTTTACTGCATTAGTTTGATTCTTGTTCTTGCTCCCCAGGGAGTCCATGACATAGTTGTTACACTCCAAAAGCTCCAAGGGTATAGCAAATATTTTGAATGTTAAATCTCCTAGTCTCAGGAGGACTCAATGACCCGTTTATTAACTTCTGTATAATTTGTAACACATTCATTGTGTTACTTTTCTGAACAATTGTGGTAGATAATGTTCCAGCATAATAAACAGAGCAATCCGCATTTGTCTATTTTAGCATATGCTTTTATTTATGTACCAGTGTTTAGATAAAATCTAAAGGAAAAGATGATGTGTTTGGTTTTCTTTTGTTTGGTTACTATTGTAGTTGCTGATATTAAACATACTGTGCTTGTGAAATTGTGTAATGAAACTATATCTCTATGGCCATGTGCCCTTTGCACAATCCTGTTAATTTACAAAGATCTGCATATTTTATGTCAGGATTCCTCTAAAATATAGTTTTCTGTCCTTAAAGGGACTCTCCAGTGCCAGGAAAACAAGCGGTTTTCCTGGCACTGGAGAATCCTACAGTGACCCCCTCCCTCCTGGCCTTCATCCCATGTTGCTGAAGGGGTTAAAAACACTTTCAGCCACTTACCTGAATCCAGCAGCGATGTCTGCGCTGGGTCAGGCTCCGCCCATGCTCCTCCCCCACTGATGTCTGCCATCGGGGGAGACCTAATGCTCATGCATGGTATGCGCACGCATTAGACCTTCCCATAGGAAAGCATTATTCATTGCTTTCCTATGGGGATTTCGGCGATGCTGGAGGTCCTCATGCAGAGTGTGAGGACGTCCAGCATTGTTTAAACAACCAAATAGTTGTTAAAGAACCCGGAAGTCCCTCTAGTGGCTGTCTGATAGCCTGCAATAATTACACTTGCAGGGTTAAGCGTGATAGGAGTTGGCACCCAGACCACTCCAATGGGCAGAAGTGGTCTGGGTGCCTGGAGTGTCCCTTTATGTCAATTTACTAGTGCAGTGGTTTACAACCTAGTCCTCAAGCAACAACAAAAATCTAGGCTTTGCCTGAATCGTGAAGAGAACAGAATTGGAACATGGCAAAATTTTGGACTATAGGTGTGCCTTGATTACTGGCTAGGTAACACCGTGTTAGTGTACAGATAATAAATAGTTGAGGTTAAGTGAATTTAAAAAATTAGGCCACAGTAGCAGTAGAGCTGCAAGCATAGCTGGCTTAAAGAATTTTTCCAGTTTTGCCATTTAGGTCTTACATTTTAAATTCTCTAGTAAATATTCCTGTTTGTTTGCTTTTTCTCGTTCACTCTTTCTTGGCATGCAATACTTTCTCACTAATCAGTGTTCTGTCAAATCATGCTTTTAGCTTTGCTAGTTTCATTTTAAAATTCAAAGCAATGCATTATGTCTCATTGCCACTTATATGTATAACAATAAAGTAGCCTCTAACAGAGAAAACAGAAAGTCCTACGAAATAGGCAGTGACACTTTCACTAATAGGGAACACAGTAAGA